CTACAAAGATAAGCCAATACATATCAGTTATAACCGGCAATGTAAACTGTCTCAATGCACCAATCAAAAGAAGCAGACTGGCAGAGTGGACCAACAAACAAAACCCAACTATATGCTGTATACAAGAAACACATTTAATTTAAAATGAAATTCATAGACTGAAAATTAAAGGCTGGAAAACTGAGGAGAAGGACATTCTTTAGTTACTATTTTGTGTATTGCCTGAAGCCTGACCAAGCCATGACAGTTGGGTTCTGGAGGAAGTCTAGCATAAGCAGTGTAAGCCCTGGGGTCAATACTGAATGCTTTGCTGAGATATACTTGAAGGAAGATAACATGATGGCTTACTGGTCAGGTCGCATTCCTATGATAACTGAGTTGTACTGTCCTTGCTAAAACAGTTGATATCCTCCTATTCCTCTGCTGCCTCCTTGGTTCATTCTGAATAAAAAGTTACTGAAGATGGTAATCAGGGGTCAGTCCTAGAGGCTGCTAGCACCTGATCACTGGATTATGACTCTCTTGGTTAGATTTTTTCTTACTTTTCTGATACATCTGCAGGCACCTAATTGGGGGGATCACTTCACCCTGGACAGAGTTGGATGAGTAGTCCAAAGAAAACAATACTCCATGTAACAGGAACCGAGAAAAAAGTGGGTGTAGCCATTCTGTTTGCAGACAATGTGAGTTTCAAGCCAAGAACAATTAAAAGAGATAAAGAAGGTCACTACATACTCGTGAGGGGAAAACTTCAAGAGGAAGAGATAACAATCATAAACATCTATGCACCAAATACAAGAGCACCCAACTATATAAGACAAATTTTAACAGACATGAAAAATGAAATAAACAATGACAGAATTGTAACAGAAATTTAACACACCATTGTTACAAAGAGATAGATGAACTACTCAAAAAATCAGCAAATAACAGAACTTAACCAAACTTGTGAACAAATGACTTAGAACTTTACAGAGTATTCCATCCAAAAGAATCAGAATACACATTCTTCTCAGCAGCACAGGGGACAGTCTCCAAAAGAGACCATATGCTAGCACATAGAACGTGCTTAAATAAATGCAAAGGAATTGAAATAATACCATGCATACCATCGGACCCTAGCCAACCTTATCCAAAAAAGAAAACAAAAAACTGGAATACATGCAATAAGGAATGAAAGGAGTGAAGTCACTACAGATCCAGTAGAAATTCAGATCATTAATACCCACTTTGGAAATCTTTACTCTCATAGGATGGAAAACACAGAGGAAATGGACAGAGTTTTAGATACATATGAATTACCAAAGCTGAAGGAAGAAGATATAAATATCCTGAATAACTCAATATCAGCCAGTGAAATGGAGAATGTAATAAAAAACTTGCCAATGAAGAGAAGCCCAGGTCCTGATGGATTCACAGCTGAACTCTACAAGAAATTGAGGGAAGGTTGAACAGCAATTCTTCTCAAACTCTTTAATGAAATTGAAAGGGAAGGAATTCTCTCCAACTC